ACAAAGTGGATCCAGTGAAGAACCACATGCTTCTCCTCACTATCGTCTGGAGTTTCCACTATTAGAACCAGAAGGTTGACGCAGATCACCACCACCATCAAAACCTCAAAGCAGGTCCTTGAGACCAGGTCAAAGAGCCAAATCAGGACCTTAGTCTGAAAAGACAAACAGGAAGTAGTTGAACATCATCACATAACCAAAGGTGAAACAGGTCTTGAAGAGTGACAGATGATCTGATGGGCAATGTACCTGTGGGCGGGGCACTGGTGGGCGTGGTCTACACAGCCTCATCTTCATCCTGGCAATGGACGTCCTCTGAGACGCCGTCATGAAGACATTTTTACCTCCAACGTGAAAACAGAGAATCAACAGGTGAGACCTGTAGGTGTGTGTGTGTGTGTGTGAGAGAGAGTGTTAGTTTGTGTGTGTGTGTGTCATATCTTCTGCATCTGTTTGTCCACCGCTCTGATGAAACCTCTGATGAAAAGGTTGAGGACGAAGAAGCAGCCGATGATAAAGAAGCAGATGAAGAACAGGTGCATGGAGAGATCAGCCTCGAACATCTGCTGAGAATCAACCTGAACACAGACACACACGTGTGATACACCAAACACATACAATGACACACACACACAGTCTCACCCACACATACTGACGTAAGTAGAGTCTGTTGCATGAATGATCACCGACAAATCATTGAAGGTGGCCTGAAAAAAACCAAACATGCTTTGTTATTGTGTTTTGCTGTGACTGTTACAGCGTGTTACTGTACTGTGTGTCGTTGTGTGATCGTTGTGTGATCGTATGGACGCACCAATTTGAACAGGGACAGGAAACCAGCTCCGACGTGATCAAAGTTGAATTTTGCGTTCCTCCACTGAATCTCAGTGACGTTCTGGTAGATCAACTCTAGGCATTCAGACTTGTTGGACACCTGCACACACAGAAACACCGGTTCTGTCCCCGCAATAGTTGTAACTACAGTAACAGTGACGGTTGTTCACAGTTGTTGACGGTTACGTTGACAGTGACGATGACAGCTACAGTGACAGCTACAGGTAGAGTGATGGTCACATTGACAGTTACGTTGACAGTTACGTTGACAGTTACGTTGACAGCTACAGTGACAGCTACAGTGACAGCTACAGGTAGAGTGATGGTCACATTGACAGTTACGTTGACAGCTACAGTGACAGCTACATTTAAAGTGATGGTCACATTGACAGTTACGCTGACAGTGACAGCTACAGTTAGAGTGATGGTCACGTTGACAGTTGTGTTGACAGTTATGTTGACAGTGACGGTGACAGCTACAGTAACAGCTACAGTTAGAGTGATGGTCGCGTTGACAGTTACGTTGACAGTGACAGCTACAGTGACAGCTACAGTTAGAGT